TGTTTGGAACATCCCATCTCTGGTGTTTTTGTTAAGCAGCTCAAACTTGCGGATGCTAGCCAAAGTATCTACTAAAGCTATTCAGTGAATGTAAGTTGAGCTAAATTAAGGCTTGTTCAGAGATCATACTAAGAAAGGGTTAAATGAATGGATTCCAGGAAAGCGATAGACCCATGAATATTTCCTACCAGTTTTTTTTTCTCCACCTAAAAACTTTTGACACCACCCCCCACCCCGCCCCAATTTGGTCAAGAGGTCCAGCGGAGTGAACCAGGCTGGTTCCATAGGGGTGGGGGGCAAAGGGGTGGGGAGGGATAGGGGTAACACTACTGGGCAGCTGCCTGGCTGGGGCGGAAGGTGAGGTTCCAGTAAATGGAGTGGAGTGGAGGTTGGAGAATCGGGAAAGACAAGCATGAGCTGTTGACCATGTGATTAAGTGAAACAATTTCACAGAAATGCTCCTGATGGGGAGTTGTGTTGGCTGGTGATGTCTCCGTGAGAGAAGTGATGTTGGGAGAAACAGCACACTCCTTCCCATGCATCAGGACTCAAATTCAACCTCCCCTCCTTTTGAAAACCCTCCAGAACCCCCCTGGCCCAGGTAGAATCTTGCTATGCTGTGCTCCTAGAACTCACTGTTAATACCTCATTGTAGATTTTACCTCATTTTATTTTATCAAGTACCGCCTCCAGGGTGTTTAGCCCCCATAGCTTGCTGAGGGCCCAGAGAGACTTTGCATGTATTGCTGCTTCTCCTAATCAGATGCTGGTCAAATAAACAATTGATTCAATAAATTCGGACGTATCTGTGAATCTTCAAACCTGACCATTTTGGTTTATGTAACAGGTATGAAGTACTTCAGGGCCTGCGATGAGCACTGTGCCATATTTTTCTACTTTTCAGATTAAAATAGAACTGGCTCTAGGCCCCACGTGCCAGAAAGGAGGGAGATTCAGTATCACGCTTCTGCCTTCCTGCTATCGACTGAATGTTTGTGTATACCCCCTTCCCCACTCACATATTGAAACCTAATGCCCCGTGTGTTGGTGTTAGGAGTGGGGCCTTTGAAAGGTGCTTAGCTCATAAGGGTGGAGCCCTCATGAATGGGCTTAAAGCCTTTATAAAAGAGAGAGTCCAGAGAGCTCCCTCACCCTTTCCACCACGTGAGGACACAGTGAAGACACTAAATCAGGAAGAGTGTCCTCACCAGACACCGAATATGCTGACAACTTCATCTTGGACTCCCCAGACTCCAGAACTCTGAGAAATAAGTTTCTGTTGTTTATCAGCCACCCACTCTGGGGTATTTTTGTCGTAACAGCCCAAACAGACGAAGACGTTTCCCAACCCCTTCTCCTGGATCATCCACTGTCCCCAGGGGCTAACGCCACAAAACGGAGTCTGCCAGACCCCTCCTCTTCGGTGACCAGAGGCCCTGACGAATATCTGTCCACTGCTGCCTTCCTTGTCCAGGTTCTGCTGGGACCACCGATTTTCCACCGTCCCTCTGGTTCTGCTGCTTCAGATAGTAGCAGCACATAAGCTTATCCAGTTTCCTGCTGAGCAGCGTGGGACTTTAGAAAGGATGGCACCAAAGGGTAATACAATTTGCTCTCTGATCACTCGAAATCCTTTGCTCAGGCCCCAAGGCTACTAAATGATGCTTACCTTTTTAAAAGCCTACACCGCCGGGCTCCCACAAAGTCCTTCATCTGGCCAAAGAACACGTGGGCATCTTCTTGTCTTTGAAATGACAATCACTCTTGGTTTTTTTGAATTCTAGAATCCTCTCAGGGTGCAGGCTTCTTTCCTTCTTCATCTTCGTAAAATATAAAGGGGACCTTCTCCCCCTTTCCTACAATAAAGTTTAAAGGACCATTAAGACGGACTTGGGCTTCAGAAACACCCAAATCGATCCCCTGCTCTTTCCTGGGGATGGGGGCAAAATACCTTTTGGTTTCATCCACTCCATGGATAGGAGACTTTTTCATATAGAATAAAAAATCCAATATGAATTAAATTATCACCTGCAGATCACTCTGCCATATCAAAGATGCACAGGGCAAGAAAGCATGTTTTCGTTAATTCCCTTCTTGAACGGCAAGAGGGCTCGTCTTTAGTTATGACCTAAACATAAAAATCTGTGTCATGGTGTTTCAACCTTTATAATCCATTATTTAGCTCTTGCAAAAAATATGTCCCGTTAGATGGTCCAGAGAGGAAACATTGCCAGACTTGCTGCCAATGGCCTCCCAGAGAGACAACTGAGGAAGCCAATGTCACAGGGTTCTGTTGAAAAAAAGCGGCCTTTTATGGTCCCCCAATATCCTCGCTTCGATGGTTTGGCAGGAACTTCTCCGGACCAGTGTGCAGAGGAAAGAGGTAGAGAAGTCTCCCTGTAGTGTTATACTTGGCTAGGGTTGCTCCACATCATTTTATGCCTCGTAACTCAATGAGACTGCTTGCTATTATATTAAGAGGCATAGCCGCTCATGAAAACATGTCCTTAGTACTGGAGACTGAGGCCGGGAGAGATTTGTTTATCTCCGTTCTGCACTGTGTCCGGAACTCTCCTGGGAATCATTTAGGTAATCACGTGACACTAGGCCACTGGCCCATTGTTCTCCTCTCTCTGCCTGAATCTCCCTTTTGGGAGAATGTCCTTGGGGGCCTTCCCTGCTCAGGACTGTTAAATAATGGTGAAACTCATTACAGTTTGGGGTTTGAAGATTTTCTTTTTCTGGAGACTCCTTGGCTTCTAGACAAAGACATCTATTTCCTACTTAGCTTTCTTTGAGTTGAATACACGAAGATGATAAGGGTGTGGGGTCCCCTGTCAAGCCACAAACATAACCGGGCCTGTAATAATACCCTCCCACACTGTTATCTTGCTGTGACACGGTATGATTCAAGTCCTAATCCTGTTCCCCTACCACTAAAATTAAGTGGTTTCACTCTGTTAAAGGCATCATCCTCAGTGGAAACTCACGAGGGCATCTACATGTCACACAGACTAGCCTAACACAAAGCTCTTAATCTGAAGTTGACCTTTAAAAAACACACACAAAAAACCCAAAGCTCAGAATTTGACCTCACTGAATCAGGAAGTTGGATTTACAATCTGTCTCTAGTGTTCTATGTCCCTTTTCTTTTTAACTAAGCTTTTCTGAATTTGACTTGGGTATCAGATAGATTATTTGCTCCTCGAAATCAATCCAAAATACTTTTCTTTTTTTTTTTTTTCTAAACTTCTGTTCTTTCTCAACATTGTGTGTGTGTGTGTGTGTGTGTGTGTGTGTGTGTGTGTATACCTGGTTTTGGAAGGAACTCAATGTGAAAAATAACACGGGCGTGTGAGCCTCCACATTCCAAAGCCTGGGGGAATTCACTTACAGCTTGTGTATGTGAGTCTCAACCCAGGAAGCTAAATTCCACCCAGTACAGGTGGTGGCATGAACAGAGTACATGTGATCGGAACAGACTACTAAGAGGTACAGTCCTGGGTTAGGGAGGGAGGAAGAGAAAATATAAACAACCTAGAAACCTGTTTGGATCATGACAGGTGGCTGTTGATGAGGACAGACATACAACTCACCTGGGTGCCTTAGTGGAAATGTCATGCCTTATTTTAGACGGAAATTAGATTCAGTGGCAAGAGATACACTCTAGGGACTACATAACATTCTAATAACATATTTTAAGTGTGCAACTTACTAACAAGATCGATTTTCAAATTTGCTTTTGACAAAGATTAAAGTAAAAATAAAGGCAGATAGCAAGATGGAAGATCAGTGAAAAGGAATGTGTAAAAAGTATACAACGTGTGAAGGAGGATTATGTGAGACACTCCTTCCCCCTTCCCCGAAATTCTAGTTTATTTTTAAAGACGGCTTGAAAATAACTTTTACTTTCTTTTCTATTTTTTTTAGCTTTGAGACAGAGAGAAAGCAGGGGAGGGGCAGAGAGAGAGGGAGAGGGAGAGAATGTCAAGCAGGCTCCGCCTTGTCAGCACAGAGCCCTGTGCGGGGGTCGAACTCACAAACCACGAGATCATGACCTGAGCCAAAATCAACAGTCAGATGCTTAACCAACTGAGCCACCCAGGCACCCCAGAAAGGTTTTTTTTTTTTTAATTAACAAGGCGCAACCTCATGACATTGGACTTGGCAATAATTTCTTGGGTTTGACATCAAAAGCATAGGCAAAAAAAGAAAAAATGCATTAAAATGCATTAAATGCAAAACCGCATTAAATGCATTAAAATGCAAAACTTCTGTGCATCAAAGGACACAACCAGCAGCGTGAAAGGGCATCCTACAGAATGGGAGAAAATATTTTTAAATTATATTTTAAGGTGTTAATAGCCAGCATATATAAAGAACTCTTAAGACTCAACAACAAAACAACCTGATTAAAAAATGGGCAAAGATCTTGAAAAGAAATTATCCAAAGAAGTTATAAATACGGCCAATAAGCACATGAAAAGATGCTCAACATCACTACTCGTTAGGGAAATGCAAATCAAAACCACAGAGATACCTCCTCACACCCAACAGAATGACTTCTTTCAAAAAATCCAGGAAATAGCAAGTTCTGGAAAGAATGTGAAAAAATTGGAACTCTTATACATTGTTAGTGGGAATGTAAAATGGTGTACCTGCTTTGTAAATCAGCATGGAGGTTCCTCAAAAAAAAAATTAAAAAGAAAATTATCACATGACCCAGTAATTCCAATTTTTTCTTTTCTTTTATTATTTAAAAAAAATTTTTAAATGTTTATTTATTTTTGAGAGTGACAGAGAGAGACAGAGTGCGAGCAGGGGAGGGGCAGAGAAAGAGAGAAAGAAACAAAATCCAAAGCAGGCTCCAGGCTCTGAGCTGTCAGCCCAGAGCCCGACACAGGAGAACCATGAGTTCACAACCCGAGACTCGAACTCACGAACCGCAAGATCACAACCTGAGCCGAAGTCAGACACTTAAACTTCAGAGCCACCCAGGCACCCCATCTTATTCTTTGTCTTTAAACAGTATCAGCCTCTGAATTGTCTGTTTCTTCCTGTGGTCCCAGTCATTCTCCTCGTGACTGTGGCCTAGATCGGTGGAGTCATTTTGGATGCTGCCTGCTTCTCAGTGACAATCGTTAGTTTCTCTGCTTCCATCTTTCTTATCCCTAAAGAGATTGTACAACATGGACAGGTAAGTTTAAGTCTTAAAACACTGAGACTCTCCACAGTCAATCCTAACCCAGCCACCTAAAGTAATCTCTTGAATGTCATCAAGGTCAATCCTCTACTTCTCCTAGCATGGTCCACTTCACATCCACATTCTTATCTTCATGTTTTTATCTTCTTCCTTCCGAGAGACAATGTCTTCCCCCTTTGCCACCTAATGATCTCTTCCCATTCAACCTCCTTCAACCAGGAACCTTTCCTGATCACTGTACCCTGTAGTCATCTCGACCTTCTCTGAATAGCTGCCTTGACTGTCTCCTGTGGGCCCCACGGCGGAACATGGCTCCTGCAAACTGTCGGCACCAGGCAAAGAACAACAAAAACAAACCCACGATGGGCCTGGGGTCAGATGCCAAGAGAGTGTTGACAGGAGGCCGTGAGTTGAGATGGGATTGTGGTCAGGGTCAGTTAGAGAATTAACACAACAGAAGACACAAATGTGAATAACAGGAGCATGAGAATCCAAGTCTTTGGAAAAGTCTGAGAAACAATTAGGAAAACGAATTGGAGCAAATCCCAAAGAGCCCAACTTTCGATAAGAGCTCTAATCACCGTGTCTTGACCAGTGAACAATCCCAGACCAGAGAGTGATTTAGGGGAAATGGTATATATAGGCTGTGCTCCTGAAAGACATGCATCCCAGCCTCAGTTCCTCCACTTACTATCTGTGTTATCTTGGGTAAATTACTTGAACTTTCTAAGCCTTGCTGTGTTCATCTCTAAAATAGAGATAATAACACTGAAATCAAAGGGCTGTTGTGATGATTGGCTAAAATGAAATTTTGGCTAAGTCTCCTGTAAATGCTCAGTAATGGTAGCTATTAAACCTTTTTTCTGGTTGAAGGTCAATTGCTGCGGACGTTGAAGAACAACTACCTTCTTTGTGTGGTATAAATATAACGTCACCGCTATATTACTATGCAAATAAAGTGTAGTGTCGATGAATGTCAGCCACACCTTAATTATGTAAGAAAGACTTCCTTCCTTTCTCCTTTTTTCCTTGCTACCTTTCTTTTTTTCCCTTTTCCTTTCTATTTAATTTTGACTCTGATACGGACTGGTAGGAAATTCAGTCTCAGCAATTCTCGGGTTTCTTCTCTACCTTCAGTTTGGGGCCAAGAGTCTAGAATCATTAGGAAAGCCCTCTGCTCATTGGCCTCTGCGTATCCTGATTCCTGCTGAGATGTTCACCATGCCCAAGATCCCTTCACATCTCTTGCCACATTTGGGCTCCAGGGATCTTTGGTCATTCTGAGAATACTAGATCAAAGTCCAGTGTCACAGAAAGCAAGAAAGGAAGGAAGGAAAGAAGGAAGGAAGGAAAGAAAAATGATAGGAAGGAAGGAAGAATGAATAAAAGAAGCCATTAACCCTGGGATACTTGGGTCAGATGATAAATTATCAGAAGAAAGTCTCATACATATTCTGGGCAGAAGTTAAAATATCTGGAAAAAAAGTAGAGTGGAGAAGGGCTGAAGGACTAAAGCCATGGAAAAGCCTAAAGGCTGAAGTATTGCAGAGATTTTTTTTTTTTTTTAATTTGCAACTTGAATTTTCTCTTCCTCTGGAAGAAGAGACCTGCAATGTTCAAAGGGTATTTCCAGTTGACTCAGATAAAGAGAACTTACCGCTTGCAAGAAGCAGGAGGAACACAACAGATGACTTCTTGTTTTGACCCTACCCTAACTTGGTTTCTTAATTCCATCTTCGGGGGCCCAAGTCTCTTCATCTGGAAAATTAAGGTGTTCTAACCACAAAGTGTTAAAAATAGCATTCAACTGGAAAATTCTTTAGATCATCTGATTGAGAAAAAATGATTTGAGAGGGTGGGCTTGGCCGTAGTTTCCAGAGTCACAGCTATAAAAGGAAATAATTTCAGAGGCAAAATAACTTTCTTCTCCTCCTCCCCACTGTCCTTGCTCTTAAGCTCCATCTATACTATTGCCCAGATGACTTTCTATTCCGATTTCTAGTCATTTGCTGGCAAGTGACTTATCTCCTCATTTACAACCAGAGCTGAATGGATTCAGCTATCCAGACATCTTCCTTTTCCTTCTTTCCTTTCTCCCTTCCTGCTCAGACAGATTCTTCTTGATCCAGGTAAGCACCAAAAGAATTATTTACAAGTGAATGGAAATAACCAACCTTAAGAACCCAAGAATGTCTGGGGCTCCTGGGTGGCTCAGTGGGTTAAGTATCTGACCTTGGCTCAAGTTGTGATCTTGTGGTTTGTGAGTTCGAGCCCCGCGTTGGGCTGTGTAGACAGCTCGGAGCCTGGAGCTTCGGATCTGTGTCTCCCTCTTTATCCCTCCCCTATTCGCACTCTGTGTCTCCTTCTCTCTCTTTCAAGAACAAACATTAAAAAAAAAAAATAAAAAAATAAAAAAAGAACTCAAGAATGTCCTCTGAAGGTTATTTATTGACCTCTCCTGGAAAATTATGTGTGTTGCCCACATTCTAACAAACTGAAACTGCTTTTGCCCTACAATATTTATTTTAAAAAATGTTGCTGTGCTTAACTCTTTATGAACATTGTCTCTTTTAATCTCACAACCAGCCTGAAAAGTAGATATTAATATCACTTTTCAGATCAAGAAACAAAGGCTCAGAGGGGTTAAGTGGTTTGCCCAAGAGCACTCAGCTTCCTAAGGGGCAGAAGCAGGACACGATTCCTCATCTTTCAGATTCTAAAAGCCACATCTATGTAGTGGAGACACTTTCTCAATTCTTTAAACAGAGCTGGTAGTAACTGCCTCACAATTGAAGAGGCAAACTGGTTCCTAGGTGGTCACAGAAGAAGCACAACAGTGTAAAATGGAAAGAAAAGTTACTCCTCGCAATTCTCCAAACGGAAGTCTCTGATTTCAGGTGGTGTTTTTATGATATATAGCATCAGCATCTAAAGCTTCAATTTGTAATCACGGTGCTTACACAGGTTCGCCAGGAGTTTGCCGGCACAACCACTCTGCTCTTAAGCAACAGTTTTCTGTGAGAGATGAAAACATTTTCAATACAGAGATCTAGGAAAGAAACGGATTGATTGACCCAATCCCATTGGAACTATTTAGACTGGAGATAATGGCCTTTTGCTCTCAGCTTACTCTGAGTAAGCAACTATTTTCAACGTGCATCCCATGGTGACTCCCAATTCTCCGTACACTGAAAACCCTTTCAACAATCTCCACAGGAAAGTGAAGGCTCCTATTTGTGGGGGGAGGGAAAATACACCAGCATTGCGAGGGACAGTTCAAGTCTATAATAAACACTCTATAGAATGTCTCTTGCGTGTATATTTCCCACTCCATCCATAACGCACATGTATTTGAACATTAGATCTGTCTTTTTTCCCCCAAAGAACAACTTTCTGTAGATATTTGTATTTAATTAAAAATTGGGACAATGCACTTGTCTGTGCTTGAAAGTCATTTTGCCTTAAGAATCCCTTCTTTATCTTCTGGCTCATTAAGGGCTTTATTGATTACTGAAGACTTCTTTTAGCTTGACAGTTTTAATATGATTATATACATATATATATATATATATATATACATAATATGGGAGTTTTAATATGAGATGTAATACAGAAATCAGCTCATCCACTCCTCTCCCATTCATATCTTGAAAAAAATTCATTGTGGAACAATACCCATCTAGAAGTTTGTCATCATGAATACACCCTAGTAATTGTCTGTTGCTGACTAACTACTTACCTCACACAGGTGAGAACACTGACCTCTCTCAGTGTTATTTCAGGCTCTCTGACTCAAACTCACTGGCTAGTAATTATGGAGAATAAACAAAATTTTGGATGACAGAACATAAGTTTTTTTTTTTTTTTTGGCGAATATATGCTTTTTTGACCTGTATATATGTGGTTTTATTTATTTATGTATAATAAAATGTATAATTCATGTACATTTATACATGTATACAAATAAATAATTTCTTAGTCTTTAAGTAGAATTTTCTTAATGGACTTCATAGTTGAGTAAATGAATGAAAATCTCATTTAAAGATCTATGCATTTAGGGGCGCCTGGGTGGCTTAGTCAGTTAAGCGTCCGACTTTGGCTCAGGTCATGATCTCGCGGTTTGTGGGTTCGAGCCCTGAATCAGGCTCTGTGCTGACAGCTCGGAGCCTGGAGCCTGCTTCGGATTCTGCATCTCCCTCTCTCTCTCCTCCTCCCCCACTCACGCTCTGTCTCTCTCTCTCAAAAATAAATAAACTTAAAAAAAAAAAGATTTAAGATCTATTCATTTATTGTACTTATGTTCAGTGGGTTTCTATAAATTATAATAAAATCTTTTTTACTGGCAAATATCTACCCAATGTAAACCCATAAATGAACATAAATTAAGACTATTACACAATTTCAAGCCGTTTCCACGGATGATCGAAATCTGACCAATTCCACTCTCAGGATCCATCACTTCTGAGGCTGAGACCTGTTTGTGGGTTGGGTGGGTATGCATGCGTGTATGTCCACGTGTGCCTATGTGTGCAAAATATGACACTAAAAACCACAGGTCACAAACTGCTGGTTATTATCACAGATGTGTTTTGATGTTTTAGCATGATGTTTTGCAAACCTGAATGTATTGTGAACATTTACAGATCAACAAATATCATCGAAAGCAGATTTCTTAAAAATGAGAAAATGTGGCAAAATTGGGCCTGTAATTTCTCATGGCGAACATTGGCTGGAGTCAGGCAGATACTGCCGAAGTAACTGGGGCCATCTTTTCCAATTGTCCCCTTCCTCCTCATTGCTATACATTACGTACCTGGTCCCTGTGGGTGTTTGGGCCTGAGGCCCTTGCCCTGAAGAAAATTCTCTAGGACTTCCTTCTAATGTGATTGGATTAGTCACTGACTTTGTGGATGGTGACTCAGAGTAAAGAAATATTGGAGCAGTGTCAGGCCACCTCAACAGCCAGGTGTAACTGAAGGCCACCTGTTTAGGAACCCCCAAATCCCAGTTCTTTGGAACTCATGGGGATCAAGAGCGGTTGGCAGAGGTGAGAACACCTTCAAAAATCCTTTCATAGATGGGAAGGAGGAAATTTGCCAAACTCCAACCTTCAGGCTACTGGAAATAGCTTGAAATTGTGTAATAGTCCTAAATTTATTTATTTCTCAATGTATTTTGTTGATATTTGTCAGTAAATAGATGTTATTATAATATATAGAAACCTTCTGAATATAGGTATAACAGGGACATAGATTTTCAAATAAAGTTTTCATTTATTTCCATAAACCTGACAGCCTGAGTTAGAAACACCACTCTTGGGGGCACCTGGGTGGCTCAGTTGGTTGAGCGTCTGACTTCGGTTCAGGTCATGATCTCACTGTTTGTGGGTTCGAGCCGCGCGTCGGGCTCTGTGCTGACCGCTCAGGGCCTGGAGCCTGCTTCGGATTCTGCGTCTCCCTCTCTCTCTGCTCCTCCCCTGCTCACACTCTCTGTTTCTCTCAAGAATAAATAAACATTTTTTTTTAATTAAAAAAAACACACACACAAGAAAGAAACACCACTCTTGTTTTCTTTCCTATCCTTACCTCTGGGAGGGAAGTTTCTGACTATAAATTTGTCCTCAGAACATACTTGTTGATTAATACAAGGATATATGTGTGTTAGCGCATGTAAACCAACAAGCTTGGCTTATATGGGATGGAACACAACTAAGGGGAGGTTTGGCAATTACCTTGGTAATTACCTTGCTAAAAACAGCAGATCTATTTCTGTTCTGTGATGGATATTTTGGTCTCAAATTAGTTCCATTATACAAGGCCTGAATTAATTAACTGAGGTGATTTGCAAACTGGAAAAAGTCTCCTTCGAGATGAAATAGGTATTGCCTGCTTATGCCTCTACTGCTTGGCAGCTTTCGTTGGCTAATTTTGGAAAGGTCAGCTCCTGAGTTTCCTCACTGACAGTCCTGTGAACTTGACTTTCGATCTGTAACAAAGTCACCACTTCAGAGACCTAGAATCCTATGTGTGAGCCACTCCTCTGTCCCCCAGGAGAGTGTGTGTATGAGAAAGAAGGGGACCCAGGCATGGAGACATGTGCAGTTGTGAAGGTGAGCTCACACAGCACAAAAACCATACAAGGAGAGGCAACGTCTCTTTAATGAAACTCCTCAGCTCCCCTGCTGCCCTCTGCCTAGGTTTGGGTTCTGAGTTTCTTGGCAGGCAAGGATGGTTTTCAGGAGGTGCCCATGCCACTTGTAAATACTGTTGCTCTAATTCTGCCTACGTTGCAATTTCTGGCCTTAGGTCATGGCCCCAAACAGGAAGTGCCTCTGAGTTCCTCCAAACATGGTATGTGGATGAAGGGCGGAGTTTAGCACATAAACATCTAGCTGCCAGCTTTTCCTGTTTACAAGGGATCAAGAATAGGACACTTAAGGTCAAGAGTAGATCCCTTCTTCCTCCCCCACAGGAGCAAAGAGTGTTGTCTTACACCCCAGGTGAAATACAGACTCTAACACCAGAGCTATATTTGGTTTGGAGTTTTTCTTTAATGTCACCCAAACTCATGCTGCAATTGTTAGGGGCCTCCAAAATGGCGTGAATAAAAGGTGACTGCAAATTAATGCGTCTACGCGGCTGGTCCGTTTTCTGGGACAAAGTTTAAAGCCAAAACATCGGGGAATGGGGAGGAAGAGTCAAAACATCTCACCTGTTTTTGAGGTGCAGCTAAAATTTGAGTAGAAGTTAGTGGTTCAGAATGGTAGAAAAACAAAACCCAGGGTTGGAAGGTGTCTCAGAGGTCATGTCCAACCCTCTTCCTGAGGACGCATGAATCACCAGCCCACTCTGATTCCTTCTCTCTGAACCGTGTCATTTTTTTTTTTTTTCAGGTTTTTGCTACTTCAGGAAACCACAGCTGGCTGATAGAAAAATTACAGCAGCACCATACAAAGAGAGAGCTATTTCTGCCCCTGTGGCCGTGAAGTATTAACAGTACCTAGTATGTATTAGACCTTGCACTGAAAGAAAATGCTGTTCGTAGCTGACTATCGAGATATTTTAAAAACAAAGCTTATGCCTCTGATTTTGAACTTTCTGCTATCAGGTTTCCTGCATATTTAGGGATACCAATAATGTTTCTCTGGTGAACAGGCTTGGAAACAGTAAAATGCTTTCTTTACAACATTATCATTTCCATTAATTCGAGCAAGTGTTGATCAGTATAAATTATTTATGGGAGTAGTGGGAGCCGTCTCCCTGGGTGCCTGGCAATCTGTTAAAGATTTGCTATCATGCTACTGAATGGGGGTGGGGTGGAGAGAAGTACATTTTATGAGTCGTAAAGTTTTAGCACCATTAGTCCTTGTGTTAGCATTAAGAAATGAGCTTTTGATGAAATGCACTGTAAACAAACAGGTAAACAAATAAAACATGGAAACTTCAATTCGCTGATAGCAGAAATCAAAGTAATGGAGAAATAAAAAACAATCCAAATCCTGGGAATATGCCAAATATCATGATCAATGGGAGATTAGAAATGGTCCTTAAGATAGAGAAGGACTTAAACTGTAGGACTGGCTGGCTCGTGACTTAATGTGATTTCTAAGAAAACGTGTCTGGAGGCGCCTGGGTGGCTCAGCCCGTTGGGCATCCGCCTTGAGCTCAGGTCATGATCTCACGGTTTGTGAGTATGAGCCCCGCGTGGGGATCTGTGCCCACAGCTCAGAGCCCGGAGCCTGCTTCTGATTCTGTGTCTCCCTCTCTCTCTGCCCCTCCCTCGCTCATGCTCTGTCTTTCTGTCTCTCCCTGTCTGTCTCTGTCTCTCAAATATAAATAAACATTAAAAAAATTTTAAAAAATTAAAGAAAGAACCAGGCTTTTCTATTTACTATGGCTGCCTAAATTACCTCCAAAGTAAATGGTATAAATCGACCGCTAATGACGCTCACAGAATTTTGTTGGTCACACTTGGAGTGGACC